ATATTGGACAAACAAACATTCTATTGTACTTTCGCTCCACGGTTCATCTAATTCCAATTTTAATAGCAGATATCAATTTAATCAACAAGGAGAATAATGGCAAATTTGTTAATTGATCATTTTGCTTCGCTTTTGTTTTTAACCAAGATACCATAATACTGATACACATAGACGCAAGGAAAGATTATCATTGATGCTGCTATAGCATCAATGCAAATAAAGCAAAGAACATTTGTGGACACAATATAGTGTCCGGGCTTTCGATTCTAACTGAAGCATTTTTAAATGCTTGTTCTGTAATAGAGACGAAAAATACAGAGTGCATACACGATCGTATATGTTGACGTGCTACTACATGGCTCAGTATTACGCTTGTATATCGTCAAGGCCGTATTCAAAGAATTACGATCGTGTACATATGGAGATAAGAAATGCAAAGCGAACCGTAATCTAAGAGTACTAAATGAATATTGATTTATTCATAAATAATCATTGTTCTACTCATATGTACATAGTTCGGACATTTATGATTTAGTATAGATGTCGAATTTCTTCGTTTACGATCGTCTACAAGTGTGTCTCGTTTTTTTTCTGTGAAGATGTGATATAAAAAAACGTGTGTATCAATTCGCAGACGCTCATGTTCTGCTAACTTTTCAGTCGACTTACAAGCAAAAGGAGATATGGTTATGCCGTATTTTCTATCGGATATTCTCGTTATCAGCGAACATCGACCATCGTCTCCCACATTACAATACACAAGAGAAAATTGAATAAAAAATCAATCGTCGAGATTTTGATGATTTTTTGTTGCCGAACACCGAACTTCGAGCGAGATAAAGCTGAAGTAATAAACATGTAGAAACATTTTTTGTCCAATTCTTACTTGACCTCAATTTGACGTTTGACATGCAAAATGGTCGATGAAATTCTAACGAGCTCTAAACGTGTTTACGAACGTATAGTTATATTTCATTGCGAATACAATAAAAACGTGATTCGTACTTCAGATATGTTCAAAGATGCTTGAACACAAACGTGTGTTATTGTAAGATGTGTTCAAATGTGTTTATGGTATTATTACATGAATGTTTGTCACTATGATAGATGCCAATGTGTCAGAGTTCCATTAACCCTTTCTTGCCGAGGGCTAAGCTGTAAGGTCTGGGACTGAAATTCGTCTGACAATGTGATCACTACGGCCTCTGATATGCCCAGAATAAGTTTCAATCACTTCGCTTAAATTCTAATAGGGTGTGGGTGTGGTTATAAGTGCTTTCTTCATCCACATCCACACCCTCAAGTTGATGTTCAGAATATTGGTAGAAAATGTGTAATAGATGCGCCTTAAGTTGGTAAAAAATTAGTTTTTCTGTGCCCTATATTACAAGAGAACGAAGCTTTGAAAAAAAATGGCACCTATAAGTGCCATTGGGCAAGAAAGGGTTAAGTTACTAACTGAAATAGTCGTTCGTCTAGTGACGGTTTTAACAACTAACATCTAGAGAAAAAAAATGACTATTCTTAAATCTACTCTATACAATTGTATGTAGAGAGTCATGCCAACAATTTCGATGTCCCTAAAAGCAGACGAAATAGTCAAATGATCAATGCATTTGTCTTTGAAAACGAAGCAGTTTCGATTTCTTCTTACACCGCTCTTTCAGGTCAATTAAAGCAAACTGGTAAAGAAAAAATCGAATGGAAAAAAAGAAAAAAAAAGAACATCTTTATTTTGTGGTGTATTTTTCTTTTGTTGATTCATGAAGAATCAAGTGACACACGTAAAAAATGGGGTAGGAATATAAACAGAAAAAAGAAAGAAAGAGAGAGAGAGATGAATAGCTGGTATAATAAACAGTTAAGAGTAAAGCATGACAAAGATGCGTGTAATTTTCGAATGAAACATTTTTGTTTCGTGTTTGTCAATCCCCATGCCTATCTGAGAACCATTAAGTATAATAGATCCGGGTTTATGAAGGAGAAGATTTTTGTTTTCGATTGACAAAAGTGATCTCGTGTTATTGCTATTGATTTTGACAGTACAGCATATTAAATCGATGGACGGAATTACTGTTGAAATTAAGTTCTTCATCACTATACGTGGTCCTTGGTTCAGTTGATATAGTTACGAAATATTAACTAGAAAAAGCAGAACGTTGAGTTAGAAAGCATAACAAAACCTCGACAGTCCTAGAGTACGAATTGTGATTCGAATCAGCATTCAAAAGAAACGAATAGAGCATGTTCATATTGATCTATTTTGAAGCGAAGAAAACAAAAAAGGAAAGAGTTGTCTATACCTCAGCAGTTCAACTCGTTTGATATTTAATTTTTTGGATGGTTAGAACTGATCGATTATAATAACATACGTATATAGTAGCGTGTTCAAGGTTTTGTTTTTTTTTCTCGGCGAGGAGGGCGATCGGTAGGTACATCTTTCGCTTTGCGAAATTTTCTCTCCTCGTAACAGTCCCTATCGATTTTTCTCAATCTTTCCCCTAGACACGTTATACTGTTTTCTGATATCTAGTTCTTAGAAACCCTTCTTCAGAGAATAAGATGGACCAATCTACTTTTGCTCCTGTTCTGTTCATATTTAATATACATGAAAGTTATACATATGCTAATACTTACGATATGTGTCGTACAAAAGCTATCTCATATCTTACCTTTTTCTTCACAGGCAACGACAATGATATCGTCTTATATTCACGTACTTATCGCGATGGGCCTATTATGTTATCGTGCACCATCTGTTTCTGGTCATGCTTATTTTTCCTATCCAATTCCTCGCGTCGTTTATTGTTCAAATACAACATGCATATCTGGTAGAATAGGACCGCAAGGACCCGTTTGGCGTTTATCAGCGAATAGTTCATTAGATACGGAAAGTCTAACTACTCAAACAACATGTAATGGTACCAATTTGTTAGCTCCGGCTCCACAAAATGATACTACTTATGATCCCGGTTTCAATGGAAACACAGCCGTTTCATGGCCGGCTGGTTCATCGCAAACATTTCAAATATTCATTTCCCAGATTCACTTAACGGAAAATCAAACCATTTATCCAACAGACGGCTGGCAAATCCGTTATCGGGATGGTGAACAGGTCGATTCAACGTTTTCACCCATTCCATTTATCTATGTCAATGTATCAACAACGGAAACTACAGGTCCTGCTCCAGCTGTAGGCTTTATACTAGGCCAAACGGGTCCTTGCGGCCCTATTCTACCAGATCGCCATGTTGTATTGGAACAATAA